GGCTTCTTAGTTGGTCGTGCTTTACATAGCTCTTAGGAATACAAGAAATCACTCGAGCACATTAAGAAAAAAAAAAACAACAAAATATAAAACACACCACTACTTCCTGCTTAAGCACACAGCAATCTTTTCCTTTCCATTACAGTATTTAATTAATTTGGATTATCATGTTGCTTCATAGCTTTGGGAAAAAGAAAAACAAAACAAACAAACAACAACAAAACCCACACAAACAAACAAAAAAAGAAAAAGTTCCTGATTTCACCATCACCTTTGGTTGGGAGGTTCTGTTCCTCTGCTTATTTGAGATACTTCTCTCCATCTAGTATACCATCATGTTTCAGTTCCTGAGAGCTATAGATATTTATTCAGTGCCCTTCTATCTTGGCCATCATAAATAGCTCTCTGATAACAAATCGCACTCACTGAACATCATTTGCTACCAGAAAGGATCTTCAAGAAGCACATGCACTGCGATATAGGATATCTCCTGCTTTGTTATGAATGCAATAAAGAGTTTTACAAAATCAGTTTCCTTCCATTTAGAGGATAAGTATATGTCATTTTAGTAGTTTTACCACTTCTTATTGCCTGTCTGTTTATGCTTCATACTTAGAGAGTCACTGCTCCCTTGCTCTTCAAATGAATACTACTACTTAAATATAGAGAACGATATGTGCTTATTGAAAGATTCAAGGATTTCAGCTGTCAATAGAGGCTTAATTATCTGCTGGTGGATGCTCAGATACCATAATGATGGCTGTTGTATAAAGCCAGAATATAAGAGCCCACTTGCAGCTCGTTATATGCCCTGATCCAGCAATTTAGGAAAAAAACAAAAACAAAAACAAAAAACAAACAACAAAAAACCCACAAAACGTAAAAATGTAAAGCATAATATTAACTTACATCCTGCTTCCTTATGTCATAACCCATCATGTAAAGGTATGTTATTTCATGTCATGTCATGCAGAACATGATGCAATGCAATGTCACACTTCAGAAAATATTACTAAGCGAGAACTGATTCTTGTTATCAGTTTGGAATATGAGTCTCTGATCCAAATGTATAGTGGCTTTGGCTGATGGGAAGGGATCAAACTGAAATGAATGTTGGGCAAATGCTTTTCTTCTCTGGCTTGGCCAGTAGATGCCCATTTGTCAGTTTTAGGTCCAATTGGAATTTCTTTGTCGCAAGTGCTTTCTCTTGTAAGAGAAATAGCTATTTTATGGCAAGCCAAGTACTGAAAAAAAAAACCTTAGAAATACATAATAAATGTATATTAGTGAGACAGAAAATTGGAAAATGGCCACCTGCCAGCAGCCACATAAATTTTGGAGGCAATGCATTTTTCTGCCATTATGTATTATCACAGGAATTGCAAATATTTATTAAAAGTATTAAAATGGTGAGAATGTTAAATGTTTCCTTCAGTAGTGGAAATTCACATTGCCACACAGAAGATAGGATATTCTGATACAATGTTTATTAAAATGACTTCATTTTATTAGGCTGTCATACACAATAAATGTGCAGGTACAGTTAACAAAAGATCTATTGTGGATATGGGAGATTTGTGAGTAACACTTCAAAAAAATAATCTCTTCTGAACTCTATTCATATAAAACGCATACTACAAACTTTCATTAACTTCCTTAGAACCAATTATTTTCTGAGCTTATTTTCTTTTTCTGCCATCCCACTATATTTTGCTAGTCAATTTGTTTGCTTACATTTTAATGCTTAATGGGATTAAATGCAGTTTATCTTAAATTTATATATGAGTGAGCTGAGCGTATACTCTACATGTAGCAGGCAACAAAATACTGCGATTCTTTTTGGGTTCATTTACAGGTCTAAACATGAATGACTGTAATATACTGGGACCCTAGTACCTTTTCATCCATGAATAAAACATTATTAAAAGATTGGTGGAGAGTTCCATAATATTGATTGAGAAGAAAATCACATTCCAGCTTTGCCCACATTTTCTGCTAGGATTAATCAGAGTGATTAGGTTTATAAGGTTCTTTTAACAGTAAGACACGGACACAGCAAACACCAGTGATGTCCTGTAGCTCACAGGACAACTTTTCTCGTCAGCTTTGCTGGACACGAGCCCTTTCCAGGAGGCTCTAAACACTGATGGGGGAGTCCTACCCCTATGCAAACAGTTGCTTTGAGCAAGTGAAGGGCTTGGTTCTGTGAAAAGCAGCTGAATAATCATCTCTCAGGACAGACTTAGAAAACAGCTGGATTAGAAGAGGGTATCTTGAGATACCTAAACAGTCATAAGCTTTGTGATGAGATTGGTGGTAGTGGTGGAAAACAACACTACTTCTGTTCTCACTGGTTTCCTGAATCAGCAGTGAAAGGAGGGAGACTAGCCATCACCTTCTCAACGGAAAGTATCATTTAAGTTGCTTTTTAAGATCAAGTTTTGGCAGAAATTAGCAGAGAAATAAGAGATCAGTACTGTTTCTTTTCTTATGCTGGGGTTCCTCAATTCCTTATAGTCCATTATGTAAGAATTGTGATTGGAGTATGTTTTTTAGATGGAGGGTGAATAGATCAAAGTTACAAGACCCTAGATTTATGGGGAGCCTTATGCAAGAAAAAAAAATAATAATAATCTGGTCTACTGAAAGTAAGATTTTGGAAATAAAAGATTTTTCTCTCCGTTCTCGTATGGTGCAATTTTATTCCTTTCTGACAAACACAGCAGGGGTGGGAAGAGGGTGAGCAGCTTTCATGAAAAATACAGCTTTGTCTTGATCCAGACACTTTATATGAGTTTGTGAGATATTAGAAGTGGGATTTGACACAAAATGTGTATGGTGGAGAGAAACCTTGGCCACCTCAAAGGCAGAGAAAAAACTGCTGTTGACTTCTGTGGGGGCAGGTGTAATGCACTCACCTCCACTGCTGTAGCTGCTTGACCAATCCTGCAGCTCATAAACCAGAGCCGAGATTTGCTGTGCCCAAAGCACTTGTGTAATTCAGTCAGTGCGGAAAGTGTAGTCAGCATTTCAAGCAATGCAAAACCATTTGCTTGGCCAACCTTATTTAATATGATGCATGTTTTATCTTGATTTAGGTTGTTGTTGTTCTTTAATTAAAGAAATTACGGGAGGTCATTCTCATTAGTTTAGAAGAATCCTCACAGAAGGGGGTTGCACTGATTTAACCTCAGAGTAAACTGGCACAACTTTTGCATGTAAATAGGATTTAACACTGGACACTTTGTGAACAGTTCAACTCTTCACTCATGACATTCAAGGAATAATTGGAATACTGACTGGAATAAAAAGATAATGTCAATAAGCTGGGGTTGGGGTCTTTCTATGAAACTTGTCAGATGATCCATGGTGGCAGCCCAGAGCCACCAGAATACCAAGAAGGGGACACCATGGACTTTCTGCTAAGGGCAGTCAAAGCAATACTCCCCATCCCTATGTGATGACATGAGCAGGTATTGTGCCAAAATCTCATTGCTCACAGCTGGCCAGGTGAGAGGCGAACTCAGAAATTGGGCAGCAAGAGAGGAAAGCAAGGAGTTTCCTGACCAGCCAAGGAAGTCACGCCCTGGGGCTGGAGTATGGTACAGGTGCACGGTGATACGGAGGCCACCACTGCCATGGAAAAGATTTGCCATGCAAAGAAAAAAAAAGAAAAAAAGAAAAGGTAGCAGCATGAGAAGTGCCAACTCTGAACAACGCTGTCTTTAATTGGTACCACCGAGGGCTTTGTGCGGTCTGCATGCTTTTGGTGTTTATAATAGAATCCCCAAATTCAAATGATCTGAAGGGCATCTGACTGTTTTACATTAATCACAAGCTATACAGCAGAGGCTGAGAGCAAGTGGGCAGATACCCTGGTGTAGTAGCACTAAGGAGCTCTCATTATAATCATCCTGCCAAATCAAAAGAAAAACCCTAAGGCTCCTAATAAAGGAGACCACTGGACTAAACAAATTGAACAAGTAGCTAGACATGCATGAGCTTAAAACTACTGGTGTCAATCAGATCTGAGCCACTTACTCTGCTTGGTACTCCACAGCACACACAGACAAAACGCAGACACAAAGCGCCACATACAAGCACCCAGCCTAGCGAGGAGCATGCTGACATACAGGTGCTAGCACATACCTCCGGTGCCAGGAAACGGGTACAGATGTGGTTTATAAAAGCACCTTCAAGATGTCGTTGTTGTACCACTACCAAAACAGAAACAGCACTACGTGAAATATGCAGTATGTATGGAGATGTCAGTCCTTGCCAGAATGTGTGAGCAGGAGGCTATCTGGACAGGATTTTCTGTCTTGGTAGGGTTGGGTGTCTACATCTATTCGTTCCAGTCTGGAAGATGCAGAAGAAAGATCTTGCACCTCATAAATTTGAGTGCCTTTAGCTCACGAAATACAGGCAGTACCCTGAAAGCCCTATGCACTTGTCACCTTCTTACACCTGCTGATGGAAGTTATTATATGCTGTACTGGAAGGAAAAAAAAATTAGTAAAAAGGTGGGTCATTGCTCTCTGAAAAGATGCAGTTGGCACTAATGAAAGATATCCAGAAATGGGAGGGAAAGACAATTTTATATTTAGAAGCAACATATTACATGTTGGTGTTTTTAAGACAAATGATAGCTAGACTCCATTAGCTATCACCCCTTCTCAAAAGCAATCAGGCAGAAAACCAAGATTTTGATGTACTCCCTCACAACTCAAAAAGAGGCTGTGCACAGAAGTACTGAAGGAGGAAAAAAAGCAATGAAAATGATTACGGTCAGTATTTAGTGCTGGAGTCAGGGGAGATGGAAAAAAAAGGACATTTAGATTGGGAACAAATGGACGAGGGATGCACCTGAGGAATAAGAAGGCATCAAGAACCAAGTGTTTTTTATGAAAACGCCCTTTGAGTCATTAGTGCATTTGTCACTGTAAGAACTGATTGCTAAAACACTGTGAATTTTTTAAGTATTGGGAAATTTTACCTACCAGTACACCGTCATCATCGTCACACTGCTAATTGTTGCGAGGGTGCTGGTTGCTGTCAGGCTGTCACCACCTGAGGAGCAGCTGCACCTCTGTGCAGATGTTGCAGCAGCCATGGAGGAGGCAGAACCAGGGCTCCCCTTACACAGCTCTCTTGGTGCCTACTGAAACTGGAAAGCAAAGTTTTGAGAGATTATTATTTTTAAATGTAATTTTTACTTTTTCAGTTCATTCTTCTTTTTCCTTTTTTTTTTTTTTTTCTTCTTCTTCTATTGCTTCCCTCTATTTTTTTTTTTTCTTTCTGCTCTACACTGTAATAAATCAACATATAAATGTACTGGATTATTTCCACCTGGAATGTAGGAAGACAAATAGTAGAGAAGATCAGTTTGGTCATTTACCATATTGGTTTAGCATGGTAATGCTTTTTTTTTTTTTTTTCGTTTCTCATTTCAAAGCTGTAAACAAATGCTGCAGGAACAGTTCAAATGCTCCCTACCTAAGACAAGACCTTGTGCAATGAAACCACTGCATTCAGTTTCTGAACACCTAACTGCCCCTTCTTTACTTTTTCATAGGAACAGAACTGAATTTTGGATTAGCCCGAAATTTGAAACTACATTTTTCCCAAGCAGCAAAACCAGATGTACCCTTAGCTATGTTAAATCACAAACATACACACATGGAGATGCAGAAAATGCACATGAAATATGAAAAAGCATTCCCTTCAGGCAGAAGATAAACAGCCCTACTACAAATTAGCTCTCGGCCCCGTCAGGTGTGAATCTCTCTTGTCAATACGCACCAAATTCCCTGAGATAGAACCACATGGTCATGAATTTTATTTCTCTCCTGCTTAATTCCTAGTACCACTCTCCCTTGTGGATTTACTCAGGGATGATTTACAGTGGGAAAGGTGACATTAAACACGTCATTGAGCATGCAAAGATGCTGCACTCAAAGCAGCATATGCTTGACTTTGTTAAAAGATGAATGCTGTCAACTCCGCAGTGCCCACCAAGATCTGGCCTCCTTTTTCTTCCCAACAAACTTTGAGGAAGACGCAGACACGAGTCTTGACACTGAGAGAAATAAAAGTTAATGTATTCATGACATGATTTCACTTGCAGCCTGATTTAGCAATGTCTTGTCTAGTTTGGATCTGCTGTTGCTTTTCCTAATTTACTCATTGCACAAAGAAAATAAATAAATAAGTGTACTATAGCCTTATTTATCCTTCTTTGGACATTTCTTTACCAGGCAGATGGTCAATTAAGAGCACTAAACAATGACACTGTTTTCTCTGTAAACATTTTTTTCTAATAGCCTAACAAATGAGAATCTGTGCTGCCATACTGCTGAATACCATCTTGACTTTCTAATTACAAAGAACTGTGTCTTGATAGTAACAATTACAGCTGTAACAATGATGCTGGTACTTGAACAATATAGTTGGAGGCAAAGTGCTTATCGGAATATTCACAAATAAAGGCTTACATTTATGCCAGAGCTGGAGATGGGAGGTTAAACAGTTGGGGGTGGGGAGGTGTAGAAGAAAGGTTGAAAACATTGGTTTAGTAGCTACAGATGTGAATTTGAATCCAATTACATGAAAGGCAGGGGGAAAAAAAAAAAAAAAGCATATGAAAAGATGCTGTTTCCTTCTGTTTGGCTAATCAATAGGTTAAAGGGTTAGTAAAATTAACATGCTAATAACATTCATTTTGCTATTTATGTACCACTCATAGTATTTCCAGTGAATTATGTCTTGTGAGTAATGTACGTGCTGCTATACGAGCTTTCCCCTTTTTTGTCCAGAAAGGTAAAATGGTCAGTATTTTTTTTCCCAATGTGATGGAAATTGGCTTCTCAAGTCTGTTACTTACCATACCTTTCTTATTTAATTTGCTTAGATCTAACTCCTGCAGGGTTTCGGTTTTGTTTTTTGTTCATCCTTTTTTTTTTTTTTTTTTAATTAAACGAAAAGTTCTCAGTACACCCAAGAAAAGGAGTAATGTTCCTTAGCTCGCTGCTGATCCCCACCGCTGCTGTCCCTGGGGTCCATGTGCCCTCCAAAGACTGGCCTTTGCCCCCCTCTGCATTCCCACTGCTGCTGGCCCCTCGCCCCTCGGTGCTGCCCCACTCCAAGGCAGGATGGATTCACCTCCTCTGCTCCCATCCCCACTGCGCTCCACCCACTCCCTGAGCCATCATTTAGCCCACACTTATTAATCAGCGCACATAATTTGTCTCTAATGCTGTCAATTTAAGATGGCAACCTGACTTTTTTTTGGAGGGGGCAGGGTCAACAATTTAATGAATCTCGTCTGCATTTTAATTCAGACCTATAATCTGCCTCTGGCAGTTTTCTTAGACTAGTTAAACATTTTCCAGGATTTTCTTTCATCAAACCCAGTACAATGGGATGTTTACCTTCCTGCCTTGGATGTCTTCAGTACAGGGCAAGTCCCATGCAGACCTACCTTAATCAACCTGGGACACAGATTAAATCTACTGATCTAGTCTTCCAAGGGTTTTCCTGGGGCCGTGCACAGCACAAGGAATGAGCAACTTGGGGCTGCGCCGTCCCTTTTCTGCACAGCTTGGTGCACAGTTGTAGGCACCAAGCTCCAGACTTCATGACTTAGTGCCCCTGTGGAATAACCTTTCCTCACTAATGACCAGAGCATCCAGGGCACAGCAGGAAAAAAGCTTTTTTTTTTTTTAATTTATTTACTCCTGTGATTTTCTTTTTGCTCTTTCTACAGGAAACTACACCAGGAAGGAAAAAAAAAAAGTGAGCAGGAAAGGTAGCTGCAGAAAATTCAGTCCTACTGATGAATCCTTTAGCCACAGTGTGGACGAGTTTGTCTAATTGCTGTGGCAGGAGGCTGGAGCCTGATTGAGCAGCTCGGTGGACTTCCCTGGGTCAAAATAAATAAAACTCCCCAAACGAGAGCCTCTCGATCACCATGTCAGATGTAAACAGAATAGACTATGTTATTAGGAGTGATGTGACTTTGCCCGGGCGAGCGCCACGCTGACAGTAGCTCCTTTCTGGATTTCAGTCAGCCGTTGTCACTTGCCTTGACAACGCGGGAAGTTAATGTATTCACGGCATTACTGCACACGCATCCGCAATTCGCAGCATATTGTATTGTTTACCCCTGCTCTTTTGTAGTAGTGCATGTAGTAATTTGCCTTCTAGCAGCAGAGAATTCCTCAACTTAAAAATTTTACCCTCATTTTATTTACCCTTAACAGAAAGACAACCCTCTCACAGCCTTACCGCTGCTGCAAATACTGCACTTTGCAGCATCAAAAATGAAAAGAAGTTGTATTTCACATTTCGATCAGAAGCATCTTCAATGTATTTTTATGCACATCCTTCATCTTTCTCTACCACACGTTATTTACTCCCTTTTAACAGAAACTCAGACTATTTTTGTGTGTTCTCGACAGTCTTTAAGCAGCATGAGAAGGGGTATTTCTGCAATGTACCTGAGTACTGATAGTAACAGCAGAGGGGTTTTAATCTCTTGAATTATCTTCCACTGCTGGTATTTTTGTGTGCCTGCACAACACGGTGTTTCCAGGGCATCGACTCTGTCATGGACTTACAGCAGCTCCAATGGAGTGGCTTTTGAGTTTTTGGTGAGCAGGTGAATTATCTGTCATTTAATTGATTTATCACTCTCATTCATTACTGTCCCTTACTGTGAAACTCTGCTGGATTCAGATGGCTGTCCTTACCACCTATGGCCCCATTTGCCATATCATTAAAAGCCACTAATTGTACACCAAAACTATGCTTCAAGACAGTTCATAAAATAGGATAGAAGAGCAAATTTCTGTATCCAAAAATACTCCAGGTAAAGCATAGTTTTTATTGATGGATATATGTTTCTCCAGAAACTTAAAGAATGTTGCTCTTGGCCCAGGCGTCTCCCAGACTGAGAGATAAGGTCATTAGGAAGATACAATGTGAAATTCAGTGAAATATACTCATCTGACTTGCAGGCCTACATTTAACAGGGTAATGTTAATGCCCTTTGCTTTAGCTCATATAGTAAAGTGTGATATAATCCAAGCAGTCACATGCGGCGAGCCCTTGTTTTAAAATTAAAAAGGGTCTGTTTTTGTTGCAACTTTTTTATGAGTTGAGAAATTCTGATTCTAAAATTCAGAGTATGTTAAAAATATAATTGCCTTGTGCAGCAGCTGCCCATCTCATAGTCAACATGTGTATGTCTCAACACAAAGGATTTTTATTCCAAATTAGATAGCTTTCTGAATGAGCTTAGCAGTTCAGAGCAAGTGTTCTTAACCTTCGCTTTGGGTACCCTCATGCAGCCTCTGCTCATTTGACTCCCATCTTTCTTCCAGACTCTGTTTCTTGAAATTTGAGACCAGTTCAGCCAATGTAATGCACTAAGCCAACAGCTGGAGATCTAACCTCTGTGGCTTGGGCATACCCTCACATGGCTTGAGCTGAGTAAGGAGGGCACCCAGTCCAAGCCCATCATTAACAGCATATGCTGGGCAATCCCAGAGGGAGACTTGTCCTGTCCAAAAATGCCTAAGATCGGTGAGATAGATAGATTTCCCTTTGATAGATCTCCCTTCGGCAATGTCATAGTGATTAAAGAAGCAGCTTAGCCTTTAGATGGCTGAAGTGGCATGAGCAGAGCCTTGCCCTTAGCTTCATTTTGATGCTCAGGAGTGTTTAGCATCAGCACAGCCCCTAATGAATATTGGAGCCTGACACATCCATAGCATGATACTTAGTTTAAATGCCTCCATCTGGCTGCAAATGTCCAGTTATAGCTAAGAGCTTGAAAGTGAGACAAACTGTAAAACAGACACTTCAAAAGAAGAAAATTGTGAAGAACTCAGGTAGTGTTGTGGAGAGGGGAGTTTCAATTCAAAGCACTTTCCAAATGAAACAGACAATTAAGCCCTTATTGAAAATAGACCCCCTCCCCCTCTTTTTTTTTTTTTTCCTTTAAAGCAAAGGGAAAATAATACTGGGAATTTAGAAAACATGAATTTTTAAAACCTAATAAGCTACTCTAACAATCTACACAATTCCCTTCGCTTAAAATATTCATTTAGAAATACAAGATTTGTGATGAGGGCAGGCTGGGTAAACAGGTCTGAATACTGTTTGTGCAGGGTCTCAGCAGTACCCCCCGCTGCCAGAGCTGTCCTCAGCCACCCCTGGCTCAGCCCTGCTGTGCCTCTCCTGCTCATGCCTCCACACATTTGGAAACAACAGGCAGTTAATTGCAACATGCATTTATGAGTTAGGGTCTGTAAACTACCATTTTATATCTGTGGGGACTGTCGGGCAGAGAAAGGGAACACGCTGCACGAGCAGTCTGGAGGACTGGAGTTACCTGGCAATGAAAAGCTCCAGGTCTGAAGCGGTGCTCACAGCCCCTCCAAACCCCCTAGTGCTTCCCTAGAAGCACTCTTGGGAGGACTGAATTTCCTGAGACCATCTTGCATCTGACAAAACATTTAGATTTTGATACAGATCCGAATTCCTTGGATTTGTTTCTCTAGGCACCTCCAGCCACACCTTTTGCACTACTCACCATAGGGCTACAATGTCTGATTTACCATTAGTACAAAGAGATACTTAGAAACCCTTGGGAAATTAACCCAGTCACAGACTTTAACAAAAACTCCAAGAAACGGGAAGAAAAGCAACTCTAGTAGTTAGATAAATAGTTTTCGGCTCCCAACACTGATTTCCTTTCCTTCCCCTTTACACTTCATTCTTGCACCAGTACCAAGTATAAGCAATCCAAACACTTGACTGGTAGTTTGCTTTGTGCTTCATGCTTTTGTCTTGCCTTTTTTTTTTCTTCATTGCATTTTGTTGCCACCTTTTTAACCTAGCACAATTATCTTCTAACTCTGCCTCCCTTCCCTTGTATTTTGGTTCCATGTGACTAGACTTCAGACTTTTCCCTCTCACTCTCACACACAATGCTATTAACATTAAATCCTTTCTTGTAATTCTCTATTTCATTATAGGTCTTTGAGCCACTCCTGAATTCCTAAGCCAATCTTTGTAAAGACTAAGTTCACCAGAAAGCAAACTTAAGCAGATGGTTTGCTCAAAAAAAAAGGCTCCTCCTTATCCTATCAGTACGTAGTTCAGCTCAAAAGATTGACACATGAACCTACAGGCTACCCAACAAAATGACCGTACAAAAGAAAGGTGCACGCTACTTCCCATACCACAGAATGCATTCACTGCCCTGACAAATTTAGGCCTGGCTACCTAACAAGCAGACAGTCAATGACACCAGTAAGTTGTGGTACTGCGGGCTCTGAGAAATGGTTTAAAGAATTTCTATTAAAGCATAGATGGGACTTGGAGAGGTGGGAGTGAAACAGACCTGGGAAAGCCGCAGGAAGCAAGGAGACAAGGATGCAATAAAACACGGGGCTCTCAGAAAATATACCTGATGCCTTAATGCCCTTTGCTACCAATGTGGTTTTTGGCCATCCAGATGAGGAATGCTCCCATGGACCTAAAAAAGATGTCTGATTCAGGAGAGTCCAGCCTGAAGGAACCTGGGGGAAAAACCAGCAGGAAAGTGCCTTCCTTTATCAGAAATCCTGCTGTACATTTACCAAGGATGAGAAGTGTTCAGACCTACCTAAAAACACCAGTTCCTCCCAAGTACCAATAAAATGATGCCTTTCACTTTTGGGGGGACAAACGAGGTGGCTTTTTAACGACTATGTATTCTACCATGTACTCTTCATACCTGGGCAAAGTTGTCATAACTCGCTGTATCCAGCAGAGTGGATGAAGCTGAGCAGACCTTCTAACTAGTTAGGCAGAAGTAAAAAAAAATAAGCCTTTTCACTAGTCTTCCATCCCATCTTTAAGGCCCACCTATTTTCAGTGCCAAGTCATTGCTGTGACTTTTAAGCCCACAGCAGGCTGGGAAATGGTGACAGAAGTCTCAGTTGATACATACATGACTAGCAGATCCAAGGATATTCCTTTGGGACAACAAAGGTAGCAGTGCCCAGGGCAAAACTGTCAAGAGAAAGAGAGAAGATTTGAATGAGCTTCAAGAAAAAAAAAAAAAAAAAAAAAAAAAGAGAGAAACAGAGAAACACCTACACTGAGCACACCAGTCACCAAGTGTTGGTAGAGCACCAGGCAAGAATTTTTCTTTCCTTTTTTTTTTTTTCAAAAAAAAATTTCTTGGAACAATTGGAGGTGACATTGTCACCACTGGTATTACCACCAAAAAATAAGCACAAGTAAATATACAGAAGAAGGGGAAGTTTCAAGGACAGAAGGCAACGATGAAGCCATCAACCTGTATGGTAAATGCAGCGTAAGCAGGAGAGGAAAAGAAGAGCAGAGACGACGTGGTACTTGGACGCATCCTACCTTCCTATTTACAGTGCCCAGGTAGCAGATGATAAAAACATGAGCAGTCAGATATGTACCAAAAATGAGGATAATAGCCGTGACAAGTAATAGGATATAGAACTTCCTCAGTATGTTGAAAAATTACAAGTTAGCTGGGAAAAATATTGAGCAGACTGGTAGAGCTGACAGTTGTTAAAAGAAAAAAAGAAAGAGAAGGAAATACAAATGGAGAAGTTTGGTTTTAGAGGCAAGGAAAAAAAATTACACAACACACCTAAGGAGATTTGTTAGCACGGCTGCTTATCTTTAGCCCTACCAAGACATCTTCGTCCTCATCAGCATCTCCAAAGAATGATCCTTGGACTTTATTCCTCCCTTTTGCAAGCCTGGGCACTTCCTTACCCATACCAGGAGCCAAAGCAACTCATTAACCCAGTGGAAATATAACCTGGAAAAGAACACAGGTCTGTATATTCTGCTGGACCAGTGAGTTGTGTGTCCTTACTGTACAGTTGGAAAAGGATCACGGTATGTGTACGGCACTGGAGAGAATGGAGGAGGCAGTGAACATAACTTTGCCCTGAGCTGCAACAGTGCTCCTCTTTGCCTGGAGTTGGAGACAGTGCTTGGACAAGGACAAGAAGAAGGGATTTAGAGGAAGACAGCAAAGTAAACCTCAGCAAAGGACTGTGAGATGTAGTGGTACTAATTTAGGAATAATGAGCACAGAGGAGCAGGCTACAACCCTTGATGCAGAAAGGACTACTGACTCAGTCCCTCAGGGGACCAGGGGACTGAATTTAGGGAGCTGCCACCAAACAGATCATCAAAGAGGGGAGAAGTGGGAATGTGTAGGTGAAACGCTTGTCTGCAGGACAGTCTGGAGGGCAGAGCAGAAGGGAAACCCATCAGGGAGCAAGCAACCGAGAAAGAGAATTCTTGGAAACAGGATGGACAAATGCATCCCCAGCATTTGGGGGTGAAAAGCCAGTTCTGATTGAAGTTTTGTTTGATGAAGTGGGGAGGGGAGGATTTTTCAAAGACAGATGTTTTGCACCAAAAAGTCATGCCTACTGCCCTAAAAATGACAATTTTGAGGTTACTTAATACTGAAGAACCAGAAGAAAACGTGACTAAATGTAGAGGTGTATTTCTTACACTGTGAATGTATCAGGAATCCTTTGAGCTCCTTTGCCTCCTGTGCTGTGATGCAGTGAAAGCTGGGTGCTTTGTAAAATGAAAATGTTGCAGAAGCTCTAGGTGCAAATGCAGCATGTGCAAAAGCCCTTTTATTCAAACTGTGCTACTTAACAAAGTGGTTTGTGAAACCATTTTCAAGCCTTCAGCAATTTTCCCTGCTTGAAGTGATCATTTTAGCATCTTCTTCATGGGTCATTCGTAGACTTTAAACCCTGGAGTTCACCCCATGGTGTCACCTGCAAGGGCACTGCAGATCACAACTACAGCAGAACTTGAAAGTTTATTTCATATATTGTTTCAGCCAAAGCACTCAATTTTGGGAGGCGATTTTGCATCAGAATGAGATGTGCTAGGTACATACCACAGATTACTTTTCAGAGGAGTTAATCTTCCTATCCATTATCTAAAGTAATTCAAAAAGCTCAAAAATGGAACTGTTCTTGAAGAAAGAATTCATGTTCAGGTAATTACAAATAACAGACACATCTGGTTATCTTAATTGTTTGGGAATGTCTCAATTATCTAAGAATGTTTTCATAAGGACTCAGAGACAGTAAAACTTTCTCACGGCAGATTGCATTCACTGATGAGAGGAAATTCAGTCGATCTAACACACTCAAGCGTGCTTAGACCGAGAGAGCACTTTGAATCCCACTGCCAGTGGGCTTTATTTGCCTCTAAAGAACAACAGACTATGAAGTTAGAAATGGGAAAGTCCCACATACGCACCCCTCTCACTACTTGTTGCAGTTTTTCCAGCACGCCTGTGAAAATGAAGTTTTTGCGTACTGATGGTTCAGCCTGAAAATGACAACTGAGAGCTGATTCTGTACACATCTGGCCCAGAGAGAGGCGAGCTGAGTAAAGGCCCTTCCCCTGTCAGAGCATTCGGCAGCCGGTGAGTGGCACCCCTTCCCTCACAGAAATTGGAAGTGTCTTTTGCCTGAGGGGGATGCATTGCAGAGGAGCTCAGAAGTTTCTGCACATCTGAATTCACCTGTGCCGGGCAGCAGCTGCGCACTTAGACCTGGAGAGGCAGACCATACGAGCCCTTAATGCAGACCCTCACCCTGACAGTGCATGTAGCCTACAAAAATCTGTAATTAGCTGATTGGGAATGACCTCCCCTGGCTCCTAAGCCTCCAAACTATTTCTCTGCAGAGTAGCAGCAGTGAAAGGGGGGTGGCTTTGCACTCACCCTGGGATGCCTGCACCCCCCTCCAGAGAGGGAGGGTGGGAAGGTTTCTCACGTGTTGGTCCCATAATTCATCCAGTTCTTCCACCAGGGCCACGGCCGCCTGGCTCTGATCTTTTCCAATAAGAGCTGAAGAACCTCTCGGCTCCCAGCTTGCTTCTGCTCATAGCCTAACTAGCACCTTTGTGTGGAAGACATGATTGGGGTGAAATCACGTAACTGTAGCGAATGTACCCCTGTGGCTAATGAAACCAGCAAGAAGGGGTGTTGCTGGGGCTCTACACAAATTCTAATCAATATTATTTATCTGGCTGAGCATGTAAGCTGGCCGCATCCTCTCCACCTAATGCCCACTCCCATCCCCTCCACCCTGTGGGTATCAGCAGGAGGGAACCTGATGTATGCTGGTAATTATCTGCTGCTGAAAAGAAGTGCTATTTCTCTTATTTTTGTAATGCAGATCAATGCACATGTCACTACTGAAAAGCTATGTCATTTAGGATGGAGCATTAACTGCTAGGAATGGATTTTGAAGCTCCCCACTTGTGGGTGGAATATTTTCTGGAGGAGTTGAGCCTTTCGAATGCTGAATTTCATTTATCCCGCTGCCTCTTTAAGAGTAGTTGGTGGAGGAGAGGGTGTTTGAGAAAGTGACAGTTTGTCATCTCCTTCCCCAGCGAGCTGGAGCTGGGGACCAACTGGTAGCAGGGAAAGAAACAAACTGGCACAGGCAGATTAGCAAGGGACAGAGCAGACTTTGCTAAAGGAAGCAACAGCCCTGCAGCGGGTTGCAAGAAAACAAACTCCAGAGGTCAGAGAGCACTTCATGGGGGAGAGAGGGAAGGGTGCACCTGGGGGTGGAAATATGGTAAGGAACCGAGCGGAAGGAGAGAAGGAAGGCTGGAAAAAGGGCAGAAGTTGGATGCTTCACTAAGAAGAATACAAACCTGGAAATCAACACGCATGCAACAACTTCCTGCCAATTTTTCTACCTAGCAGCTATACTAACATGGGCTATCCAAAAAAGCAAAGTCAGATCCGCAGTGGAAGGCAAGAATTTTCCAAGTTTCTTTCAATTCTATTCATGGGAATGAAACAGGAACTTCTCCAGACACTTGCTGAGAAAGAGAGAGCAAACTCTCCTCGTGTCCATCAAGCCCAGGTAAAGAGAAGCACAAGACGGTCACAACTGGGGTTCAGCCATGTGTACTAAGAAAAACCTCAAAATCTCAAAACTCAAAATAAAGAGGGAAACTCAGTTTACAGTTACGTAATATGAACACAACTCTTACAACTGGCAATTTTTATGAGCTCTCCCCCCTTACACCTCCAAGATAGTCTGGTCAGCACCAAAACAGAAAGCTATACAGTCCCCCTAAAGTAAAGATTTTGGCAAACCAATTAGGCTACTGCTACCGTGGTACTGCCGTTCTGCACCTAGTTTGAGGAATGTGCATCTACACACACTGCACACTTTGCTGAGACATGCTGATGGACACAGCCCTCATTTAGGATGTTGACAAAAGTGGCTGAAACCAAGACATCCATCAATCCAAGCGTCAATGTGAGCCATACCTTTACATGCTTGCTATTTGCCTTTCTTAAAACAGGCACTTGCCTTACTTCACAGCAGTGATTTTTAGAGCATATGTTCACTATATACAGTTCCTCTTTGAAAGTTCTGGACACACAGATGTTACTCTTTGGAATTGCTCAAAAATTTCAATATTCTTTTGAGTACTTGATATTTACAGTTTGATATTTAAAGCGTGCAATTTGTTATCTAAATTGCACAGCACTGTTTCAGTTTCCTGACTGAATGACCCAACTTTTATGAACCTTTCCAGCTTCCACAGGAAAAGGTTTTGTTTAGACACGAAACACCTTTCCATGATTAGACAAATATCAGCTACCTCTAAAAACTGTTGCAAGAAGGGTTGAACAAAGAGAAATAGAAATTATATTTAGAACTGCACAGACATGCGAATAGTTATTCCTTTATTCACCTACACCACATATGTAGGCCCAGATAGCTTTTCTTTTTTACTGATGTTGCTTTTACTTCGTACTTTGAAGAAAAGACACATGGCTAGTCTGAAAGCTGATCAGATTCTTCGTTCATTTGAAAAGCTTATTTCTAAATAGTACTTGCAAATATGTGATGAGCATAAATTTGGAAACCGCTGAAAAACTAGCTATGTGTCATAACACAGTGTCATTTTTTCTGATGTTGTACAGAAGCACGATGAAAAGCCAAAGTCCTACCAAAAATCCACTCAGTGATGACCAATGAAAGGAGGATTTTAAAACTGGCATTATTTCTGGACATGTTCTATGGCCCTTTTCATGCTGGCAGGCAGGTACTTATCGCCTCTTTGCAAAAATTTGGGGTTTAAAAGCTGTCTCCTTAAGCCTCTCGACCACTACTTGTCCCTCCACATTGACAACCTGAGCACTGACAAATTTTGAAGCTTCCTTGGCTTACTTTTAAATTTTCCTTTCCACATCCTATGCCAGCAGTTACCCAGAGGGAGAAAAAAAAAACAACACCGTATCCATCCTTCAAAAAGTCTAACTTTCACTCTGCTAGTTCTAATCCATTATCTAGGCCCACTAATGTGTACTACATCATCAGAGGAGCAATGCTCTGATGATGTAGTACAGCCCATGTACATGTACATCATCAGAGTTATATCCTTCTGATCTGCCTGTGGGTTTAATAAGCATTCCAGATGGCTTGCTATGCCTGAAGCAAGAATGGATAATCACACAGCTCTACCCTCAAAACAATAATAAAATAAGGACACAGTAGCATAGGGGCTCATGCCTGCCAAAAACATTCAATAGACTGTATAATACAATAGTCCAATGTGATTGGTGAGGCACATTTATACCCTAGCTATTTACAGGTGAAAGGGACCTGGTTTTAAATAAAACAGAGGTTACAAATACGTAGTGTTATTGTTATTATATATTGCAGTGCAGCTGCAGTGCCTGAGCCAGGCGGAGCACTGGGCTGCGGCTGGCCCACCGGCGGGCCCACGGCTGTACCC